AAATTTAACTTCAATTAATCATATTACTTAAGAACTCCCACTTAGACAGACATCTCTCTAGTCATCTAAGTGATCACGTGATCCAAATCAACTAAACCATGTCCGATCATCACGTGAGATGGAGTAGTTTTCAATGGTGAACATCACTATGTTGATCATATCTACTATATGATTCATGTTCAACCTTTCGGTCTCTATGTTCCGAGGCCATATCTGTATATGTTAGGCTCGTCAAGTTTAACCTGAGTATTCTGCGTGTGCAACTATTTTGCACTCGTTGTATTGGAACGTAGAGCCTATCACACCCGATCATCACGTGGTGTCTCAGCACGAAGAACTGTTTTCGCAATGGTGCATACTCAGGGAGAACACTTCTTGATAATTTAGTGAGAGATCATCTTAAAATGCTACCGTCAATCAAAGCAAAATAAGATGCATAAAGGATAAACATCACATGCAATCAATATAAGTGATATGATATGGCCATCATCATCTTGTGCTTGTGATCTCCATCTTCGAAGCACCATCGTGATCACCATCGTCACCGGCGCGACACCTTGATCTCCATCGTAGCATCGTTGTCGTTACGCCATCTATTGCTTCTACAACTATCGCTACCGCTTAGTGATAAAGTAAAGCAATTACATGGCATTTGCATTTCATACAATAAAGCGACAACCATATGGCTCCTGCCAGTTGCCGATAACTTAGGTTACAAAACATGATCATCTCATACAATAAAATATAGCATCACGTCTTGACCATATCACATCACAACATGCCCTGCAAAAACAAGTTAGACGTCCTCTACTTTGTTATTGCAAATTTTACGTGGCTGCTACGGCTGAGCAACAACCGTTCTTACCTACGCATCAAAACCACAACGATAGTTCGTCAAGTTAGTGTTGTTTTAACCTTCGCAAGGACCGGGCGTAGCCACACTCGGTTCAACTAAAGTTGGAGAAACAGACACCCGCTAGTCACCTGTGTGCAAAGCACGGCGGTAAAACCAGTCTCGCGTAAGCGTACGCATAATGTCGGTACGGGCCGCTTCATCCAACAATACCGCTGAACCAAAGTATGACATGCTGGTAAGCAGTATGACTTGTATCGCCCATAACTCACTTGTGTTCTACTCGTGCATATAACATCAACGCATAAAACCAGGCTCGGATGCCACTGTTGGGGAACGTAGTAATTTCAAAAAAAATCCTACGCACACGCAAGATCATGGTGATGCATAGCAATGAGAGGGGAGAGTGTTGTCCACATACCCTCGTAGACCGAAAGTGGAAGCGTTATGACAACGCGGTTGATGTAGTTGTACGTCTTCACGATCCGACCGATCCAAGTACCGAACGTACGGCACCTCCGAGTTCAGCACACGTTCAGCTCGATGACGATCCTCGGACTCTGATCCAGCAGGGTGTCGGGGATGAGTTCCGTCAGCACGACGGCGTGGTGACGATGATGATGTTCTACCGACGCAGGGCTTCACCTAAGCACCGCAACGATATGACCGAGGTGGAATATGGTGGAGGGGGGCACCGCACACGGCTAAGGAACGATCACGAAGATCAACTTGTGTGTCTAGAGGTGCCCCCCTGCCCCCGTATATAAAGGAGCCAAGGGGGAGGGGGCGGCCGGCCAAGGAGGGCGCGCCAAGGAGGAGTCCTACTCCCACCGGGAGTAGGATTCCCCCCCTTCCAAGTAGTAGGAGTAGGAGTCAAGGAAAGGGGGAAGAGAAGAGAAGGAAGGAGGGGGCGCAGCCCCTCCCCCTAGTCCAATTCGGACTAGGCCTTGGGGGGGCGACCAGCCTCTCCTCTCTCTTTCCCCTAAAGCCCAATAAGGCTTATATACTCCGCGGCGAATTCCCGTAACTCTCCGGTACTCCGAAAAATACCCGAATCACTCGGAACCTTTCCGAACTCCGAATATAGTCGTCCAATATATCGATCTTTACGTCTCGACCATTTTGAGACTCCTCGTCATGTCCCCGATCTCATCCGGGACTCCGAACTCCTTCGGTACATCAAAACTCATAAACTCATAATGTAACTGTCATCGAAACCTTAAGCGTGCGGACCCTACGGGTTCAAGAACTATGTAGACATGACCGAGACACGTCTCCAGTCAATAACCAATAACGGAACCTGGATGCTCATATTGGCTCCTACATATTCTACGAAGATCTTTATAGGTCAAACTGCATAACAACATACGTTCTTCCCTTTGTCATCAATATGTTACTTGCCCGAGATTCGATCGTAGGTATCTCAATACCTAGTTCAATCTCATTATCGGCAAGTCTCTTTACTCGTTCCGTAATACATCATCTCGCAACTAACTCATTAGTTGCAATGCTTGCAAGGCTTAAGTGATGTGCATTACCGAGAGGGCCCAGAGATACCTCTCCGACAATCGGAGTGACAAATCCTAATCTCGAAATACGCCAACCCAACATGTACCTTCGGAGACACCTGTAGAGCTCCTTTATAATCACCCAGTTACGTTGTGATGTTTGGTAGCACATAAAGTGTTCCTCCGGTAAACGGGAGTTGCATAATCTCATAGTCATAGGAACATGTATAAGTCATGAAGAAAGCAATAGCAACAAACTAAACGATCAAGTGCTAGGCTAACGGAATGGGTCAAGTCAATCACATCATTCTTCCAATGATGTGATCCCGTTAATCAAATGACAACTCTTTTGTCCATGGCTAGGAAACATAACCATCTTTGATAAACGAGCTAGTCAAGTAGAGGCATACTAGTGACACTTAGTTTGTCTATGTATTCACACATGTATTATGTTTCCGGTTAATACAATTCTAGCATGAATAATAAACATTTATCATGATATAAGGAAATAAATAATAACTTTATTATTGCCTCTAGGGCATATTTCCTTCACTTGAAGTCTCTGACACTTGTCGTGTTTGTGGAATGGAACGAGAGGACTCTTTCCATGTCTTCTGCAGGTGTCCAATGGTTGTTGGATTATGGGAGGCGATGGCGAAGGATTGGGCGATGCCGCTGCCGAGGAGTATCGTGAACACAGGGCACCAATTGCTACTACATCTACTTGACACATGCGGCGAAGTCGAGCGGCTCCCACTGCTCATGACGTTGTGGTGTGCTTGGCACGTCAGGAATGAGGTGGTGCACTTCAAGCCTGCCCCTCCAATTGAAGCCTCGTGGAGATTCCTAGGAAGCTACATCAACTCACTAATGTGCATCAAGCAACATCCATCGGCGGATGTCGCAAAAGGAAAATGGTGGTCTCATATGGCCGAGGCTCTCAATTGCATTCATGGAAGGCCGCTCCTCTAGGTCGTTCGCCTGAGAGATGGAAACCACCACCTGATGGCTAGCTTAAACTGAATGTTGATGGCGCCTTTTCTGAGTCAGAAGGTAATGGAGGTGCAGGCATGATTCTCAGAGATAGCAGTGGCCACATTGTTTTCTCATCCTACCGTCACCGTTTCTCATGTGTGAGCGCACTGGAAGCTGAAGTAGAAGCTTGCAAAGAGGGCGTTACACTAGCACTAGAGTGGAGCACTCTACCCTTTATACTGGAAACGGACTGCTCCGTTGCTGCAGCCATGATTGTGCAGTCGGAGGTGAACAGGTCTCCTGTGTCTAATTTAGTTGAGGAAACCAAGCAGTCAAGCACTTGCTGGCTAGAGGTAGAAGTCACGAGGTAGCTGCTATTAGCCGAGTGCAAAATAGTGTCAATCATATGCTAGCAAAAATTAGGCGCACTGGCCCTAGAACGGCGGTGTGGTTAAGGTCTGGTCCAGAGGAGATTGTAAACTTATGTGCCGCGGATCAAACTGATCTGATTTAATAAATAAATCTCCTTTTTTCGCAAAAAAAAAGTTGCTACAGCAGTCTCAAAGGAAGATGTTGGATACTCTTGCTCAGGAAAAAAAAAAGGCAATCTTCTATTTAGTCATGTTTCGATTTTTCAAGTGGTCTTCAGTCGTAAGTTTGTTACTCCCTCCCGTTTCTAAATATAAGGCTTTTTTGATTAAAAATAAATATAAGGCTTTTTACAGATTTCAATATGTAGTGTGTATATAGACGTATTTTAGAGGTAGATTCACTCATTTTGCTCCGTATGTAGTCCATATTAAAATCTCTAAAAAACCTTACATTTAGAAACGGAGGGAGTATTAGCTAAAAAGCTAGAGGAAAATGTGTATCCTGGGGGAACACACAGTTTTCAGACAACATGAATATAAACATGTTGGACCACTCTAAGGGTCACTGTAAAGTTAAAAAAATGAGAATCACTCCAAAGTTAAGTACAGATAGCTAGTTGAATAATCCTATACAGAGAGCTAGTTGAATACTGACCCTTGCTATCAAGCTGGCATCAAAGTAGAAAAGGAATTACTAGTAGCAGACAAAGCAGAAAAAGAACTAGAGCCATCAAAATTCAATGTGGTAACAAATCTCTGGGTTTGGGGGATAGGATGAGAAGCTATCAAAGAAGAATTTAAGTAGTACTCCCTCTGTTCCAAAATAGATTAACCCAACTTTGTACTAACTTTAGTATAAAGTTGGGTCATCTATTTTGGAACGAAGGGAGTAGTACATATTTCTTCGCATAAAAAAATGCAGAAAACTTTGGCGCATTGACGCCCATAAAAGATTGGTGATTCTCACTAGCACGAAATGAAGGAAAAGAAGTAAAGAGCTGTCAAAAATCAATGTAGTAACAAATCTCTGGGGATTGGGGACAGGAGTGGAGTTATCCATGAATGTGCATCATAACTAGCCACGTGTTCTTACTTGAGGAGAATTTGTCTTTCGATAAGCCGTGCCACAACAGAAGACAGTTGCAGGTGACTGGCCATGAGCAGTTCCCCATGCCAAGTGTTATTTTCTACTAATTTACACATTACGAGCTACTCAGATTGATAGTAGGAGAACCACAAAGTTCTCCACTAAAGGTTTTGGAGGGTACGATGCATCCCGTGGCACTTGTCATGTCACTCTGCTTCATCTGAGAACATGCCTGGTGACCTGGTGATTATTTCATTAGCCTCAGGTAATGATGAATCCTTCGCATCAGCCGCATAGAGTATCTTCCTTATCCCTTTGGTCATCTGTCAAGAAAAAAAATTGATGTTTTAACAGTCAAACCCAAAATAATACAAAGCAGGAATCGTAATAGCAATATACAAAACTTCCAATAACAAAGTTGTTACAACTGGAATGAACCAAGTTATTCATGCCCAAAGGTTCAGACCAGTATTTGGTGTGAAGAGCAAACCAGATAATAGTCATGCAAACATGGACATGAAACAACGATACCATGTCAATGTTGTTCTAAATTATTTGGTTGTTGCCTAAGCTGTGAGAAATATTCTAAAGATCAGTATGATAGAGAACTATCATTGGTACTGTCATGAAAGTGCCAATGAATAGTGCAATACAAGGGACTAATGTTGACACAATGTGGCATTGATTAGGAATTAAACACACCACATCGACTTGGGGGTCCCTCAGAAGCTTCTTTGTCAACATAACTGAAATTCAGACACTAATGCCCTTGAATGCAGATGAGTACAATAAAATTAAAAAATGCAGAGCTCTAAGATTTCCAAAAGATGTTTGTTTACCGGTAGATGCTCCAACTCAGGTCTTTGACATAATATCTCGATGTCACGCAGCTTTGAGAAGTAGAAATCTCTTTCTTTCTCAGTGTTGTCCACAGCAACCTTCAGATCTGCAATCTGCAATCCAGTAGAGATAGTAACATCACCAACTAGATGAATTTACCATCCTCAATAATACAACTTGCCCAGATTTATAGCTGCCAAAGGTGAACTCTACAAATTTCACCGGTATAGTGATCAGAAGCTAGAATGGGGTTTTACGGCTATATATAAAATAACTTTAAAACAATATACTTTGGAACAAAACTGGAGTGACATACTCATATAACAGTCTGCAGTATAGATACCTGGGTTTTTCCACAGTATAAGATACTATAAAAATGAAACAGCACCTTAAGTTACACACTGCTTACCTTCTCAGATAATTGTTGAATCTGCTCCATGTAATGCTCTTCATTAACAGCATTACAGACTTTTCCAACTGGAGAAGCTGCATAATTGAGTTAGCATAGAGTCATTTAAGTATTTAACGAAGTCGTACAAAGCCTCTATGCTATTCCACATAAAAAATTAGCATATAAACTGATAACTGATGAACAGCTTCACTTAATGCCTTTGCGTTTTATCAAGGAACATCACCAATTTATTAAGAATAGCATGGAACTGATCTTGCATATACTACTAAAAAAGAAAGAAAAACATATACTAAAAGAAAGATTTTTGACAAGTACCAAGATCAGTATTAGAATTCAGGGCACCTCCATCTGCTGAGTTAGCACTAGATAATCTGTTGGCTTGAAGTGATTTGGATGACTTGTTGGGACCCTTGTGGGTGCGCTCTTTGCAACCCTTGGACCTCCTTTCTACAGGATTGTAGTTTCTAAAACAAGAAAATAGTCTTGTCAGTTCAATAGTTACTGACAAATTGCAGTTCCTTTGCATTTAACATAACCATGGCACATACTCATTCATGATTCCACCATTTACAGAATCACAATATCTTTTCAGCCATTGCAGAAACTCCAAGTTGTCCAATGGCCGCCCTTTAACAAGTTTGTTGACCTCAATATTCTGCAGAAGCATCCATCCACTAATTAGCACAACAATGAACTTTTTATGCTATGGATTACCTCATAGTAATAAGAATAGAAGCTGAAGGACCGAGATGAAGCTGCCTTAGCTCAGTTTGCTAAAACACAGGCCATAAAATCGGCAAAACATTCAGAAAGCACAACTCTAAACTTTATATTGTGCAGAATCAGAACATAAACAGAACAGTACAAGTTGAATATATATACTTCTTCTGACATGCGACACTAACCATTAAGACAATAACCACCACCAGACTATCAAGGCCTTCCCTGATATCAAGTGTCAAGTGCTGAACACAGACAGTCACATACACCAAACTTTGCCTTGTGATGCGTCATCACACGCCTACTTCACCCAACCAAACTTTGAAAATTAGCTTTCAATGCACATAAACACAGGTCGTAATCTCAACCACATCCCTCCTCACTGTGCACAACAATGAGCATAACTTGAGTACTGCACAGCAAATTTAGCAAGTCATCGAATCATCTTGCGGCTATACCACATGTTGACAACAATTACAGATATCTGTTCCAGACTGAATCTCGACACACCGCATATATAAACCGAATTACCGAACAGATATCTGTCACCTTGCCTTCACTCATTGACAAAATGCATTACAAATAAATCGATGGATCAAGAGGGCCGGGAAATAGCCAAGCCGGGAGAATCACCCGTACCTTGCCTATCCGCAGCTTGTTGAAGACATCCTGGAGAATCTTGTAGTTCTGGATCATGTCGTACTCCGTCTTGGCATCGAAATTCACCTGCAAAACACCCCCAAAATAATAAGCATCCGCGGCCATCTAAGATTCTAAGCCAAGCCCGCCTAAGCGCAACGCTCCGAAACAGATCAGCCGGGGCAGGACGCATCCTAACCTTGTGCATCGGCACCGACCCAGGGTGAACCATGTCCAGCAGCTGGCACTGCACCGCCCCCGACGCCGCCTGCATCGACACAGAACAACAAAGCACCCCCAAATCAGCACCGCCGAAATCCGAACCGAGCCGCGCCGCAGCACCCACGAGCTCCCCCCCTCCAGCACAGCGCGGCCAGCCTAGCACGCGGGGAACGCGGGGACCAGAATGGGGGATCGGAAGCAAGCGTGGGCGACTGGACTGACCTCCTCGACCTTGTTGAGGGAGAGCTGCAGCGTGGCATTGACCCAGCTGAGGATCTCGCCCCGCCCCACGAAGTAGGCCTTGTCCATCAGCCCGAAGCTCGCCGCCGCCGCCATCCCCTCCTTCCCTCCCTCCGGCGATCCCTCCCTCTCCCTCTCCCCCGCGGCGCCGCTGGACTGGACTGGGCTGGGTGCGGGGGGAGAAAAGCCTGTGACGGAACAACTTTTCGAAACGCCTCCACGCGGAACGGCGAGCGCAGCAAAAACAAAAACAAAACGCCACGCACACGCACAGCTATGCTAAGCTATGCTAGCCAGGCGTCCGGTCACCGCCCGTAGCGTCACCGCCGGCCCGGTAACACATTTATCGCGTGCTTAATTTGAAACGGCATGGAGGGTAACGCTGGAGGTGGGCGGTGGGCGGTGATGGGACACAGAAAAAACGTCTCCAAATGGCGGCCTGGGGCCCGGCCGCCTTTACTGGCTCCCGTCCGTCTGCCCCGGCGCCCGCATCGACGCGCGCCGACAGGTGGGTCCGCGCGCGTGGGGCCCTCTCTGGGTTTGCTCGGGGCCCAGGCCGACGGGCTCTGTGGGGCTCGCGTTTGTGGGCGTGAATGCGGGTCAATTCTCGCGCGGCTTGCATTCATGCCGGTGGGCCGCGCTGTCGACCGTGTTATATCTGGAGGCCCGCGTTAGTGGAGTGGGCATGGACCGGGTGGACGGAGTACCGACCGACTGGGCCGGGGTTCTGCCTCGTCGCGTACACGAGGCCCTTAGGGATTCTTTCTTTCAATTCTCGTAGAAATTTTGATGAAGGATTGAAATCCTTAGAAAAAATCACTTTGGTTTCTTTTTCTGAAAAGCGTAAGGCATATAGTGTTCTCATGCCGCCGTAGCTGCCTCCATCGGCAAAATTTGGTCCCCTCACCTTTGGCTGCCATCTTGGCACTGAGAGGTGGGTGATCTCGGATCTTCAACACATCTATGTCCTTAGTCGATGTCTAGTGATCATCATAGTTTCGTGAGAATAAATTTCCTATTGTTTTTTGGGTGGTGCCATGAGATTAGAGAGTTTTTTGTCCTCGTAGATCCGTTTTGAAAGTTGATGAGTTTATGTTGATGTGTCAAGTTTTTTTGTTGGTCTGATTCTTTGTGTAGGTGAAATTTTTCATCGACGCCATGGTGAAGATATGATTCGATAGCCTGCATTTCTAGAGGATCATCTCTGACCCAAGTGCGTTCATCGATTAAGGCTTCCCATCTTTTTCGATGGGCGACTCAATGCGCTTTCAGAAGCCATTATTATTAATGTTTGTGCGGATAAAAGAGTGACAACATTGTTGCTCCAGTCTAATTACAGACTCTTTATCAAAGTCTTTGGTGTATTTTTTCGAGCATATATTGATGCCACCAAGAAGGTGTTTTCAAGAGATTTCATTGTAATTCTTAGTTATAGGAGTTACTTTGTAATTTTTTTGGATCTTAGGTCAAATTCAGTGTACCATTGTTATGTCCATGAATAAAATTACAGGTGTTTTAAAAAAAGTCATTTACAAACACACTTTACAGATAAACAACATTACATTGCATTACAATCCTTGGGAAATTTTCTTAGTTGGTCACTGGATTTGTAGAATTGAAGTATAGTATGAGATTTGTCCATAAGAAATCCTTTGTAAGACAACTTTTCTTGCACTCCACCCCTGCCCTTGTCTTGCATCCGCATCATCCTCGGCTGACGTCGTCATTGTACCTCTTCGGCCGCCACCCAGGCATCCTCGAACGTCTGCAGCCCCCACCCATGTGCCTGATTGCTTGGACTATGGCGCCGTCCACCCAAGATCCCTCCGCAGCCAGCTACCCTTTGTCACCCCTGTGGACGTCGTCCATGTCAAACACCACACTCAACACGTGTTTGGTCAAATACATTGCTCTTTTTTGTTGAACTGTTTGATGTTTCCAGAGTAATTCATGGCGGGTTACACGGTGATTGATGATGAGTTGTTACGCGATGTGTGGTTGGTCGTATCGACGGACTTTGTAGGCATGAGGCAAACGGGCTCGACCTTTTGGAACTGTGTGCATGTTTTGTTTCATGAGCAAAAGCACGGCACACCCAATGATATGCACGGCATCCATGAGCGCAATATAAAGTCACTAATGCATCAATTGTACACCATCTCCAACTTCGTTATGAAGGTTTGACATACCATTCACCGACTAGAGACAATGTGGCCATTGGGTTCGTCAACCTTGGAAATCATAAGTTTTTCTTTCAATCGCCCTACATGTTGGTCAATTCATTCATTCATTCAATGTTGGTCTACACATTGTATAGCCCGCACACGTTGTCCTACACTACTACATGCGCAGGTCATTCACACACATACATTATTGGATGCAACTGTTAGGTTGATCTCTCCACCAATGGACCCAACGGCTCATTGGGCCCTTGACCCACGCCCTGATCGGGGGCGTCCAGCCCAAGCAAGGCTGATGGGCCCCTGTCGTGCAGTGCTATAAAGAAGAGGTGGGGACCAGGGGCACGGGGTACGAGGTTCGTCGCCGCCACTGTTCCCCACTCCTAACCCTAATTCGATCCAGAGGGAGGCAGTGAAGCGACAGGAAGCGCCACCAGGCCCTCCACCGCCGCCACTCACGCACTCACCACTCTCTGCCATCACCGGCCACCTCACCATGGCCGGCACCGGGAGCTTCTCCACTACAGGAGAAGGTAGCCACTCTTTCTCCTCTCATCTCTTTGTGATCCTCTCCTCCCAGATTAATACAGATGCATAAACAGTGTATATACAGATTGATCTATGCCGTATTCCTAATCCTACACGATCTATAGAACATAACAGCAACTTGAGGGGCAATATATGCTGGAAGACCTATATCGATTCTGCCTTGATGATCTTTGAATCTAGGTCGATGAATTATGTAAACTTGTTGGACATCCGTAATCTCAAGTGTGATATTTATGTTTGGATTATGTTGTACTAGGGATATTTGGTTGCTATTTGCTACAGTTATTTTGAGTGTTGAGGATTTAGAAAAGAAAAGAAACAGGAGTGAACATTATTGAGGAGACATGGTTGGATGGCCAGCTTCTGCATTCTCGATAAAGATACCCTGGACTGTTACCTGTAGATTGTATTGTTCCTAGACTGCAACGAGATGTGGGCAACACTTTTCATTTTGCCCCGCGTAGACAGTAGATTGTTAAGAGCATCTCTAACCTCCGCGCTATATACGCACCGCGCTGAAAAAGTAGTGCTTTTAGCGCGCGCCACCGTTTCGGGCGCTCCAGCGAACACACAAAAAACGCGCGCTCGCATATGTAACTCAGCATGTGGGCGGAAACGCCATCGCACGCCGTTTATTTGCTGCGCCCGCTCCCGTACGCTGGACTCTCGAGCGCTCGCGCGCAACTCCATCTACCCATCCAGCTGCGCCGCCGCCGCCGCCCGCGCCACCCCATTTTTCCAGCGACCGTTCCGGCGCTTCCCCGGTCTCTCCCCGCGCGGCCGCAGCTTCGTCCCTCTCTCTCTAGTCAGCGCCGCCAATATCTTGATTTCCACATTGCTTAGGCGGCGGCTAGAAAAAGATGTGGAGAGAGCTTTTGAGATTTTGCAAGCCCAATTTGCTATTGTGAGAGGACCGGCTAGGTTTTGGGATCAGAAGATACTTTGGTACATAATGCACGCTTGTGTGATAATGCACAACTTGATCATCGAGAATGAACGTGGCCAAGATCTACACTACTCTCACTATGAGCTCTTGGTACATCCCGTGCGAGTGCGGCGGAGGGCTGAAAGAGTGGCCCGTTTTGTTGCCTCCTATCATGTCATTCGAGGTCCGGCAGCGCATAATGAACTCAAAAAGGATCTCATTGAGGAGTGGTATGCTTGAAATGGCCGCCAAAGAGCATCATGACTTGTGCATTTGATGTTGTATTGTTGAACTATTTGTTGTATTTCATGAAAGATACTATTTGTTTGAGTTGTAATAATAAATTGAACTATTTATTTTAAACTTGGTCGAATGATGTTCGTGATTTAAATTATATGTCATGTCTTTATTTTGTGGATGTGTTGTGTCCAAAATGCAACAGATGTGATGCGCCGGTTGCTCGCGCATGCTGTATTTTAACGCGGTTGTTGGAGCCAGCGCTGCGCCGCGTCAAATCTGGCGATGGGCGCGTCATAAACCAGATTTTAGTGCGCGGCGCGTTGTGTGCGCCTATGGGAGATGCTCCAAGTGAACTAGATGGATCTCGTGGACTGTATTTTACTGCTCCTAGTACATTTTTATCTGATTCTGAAGTGGGTGCTCATGCGAACTAGATGAATGCATGCACATGTTTTTCTTCCGCGATCGATCTCTGCCTGCTCTTTTCCGTAGTTTTTCTCCTCTCTCTCTCAACGTCTGATTCTATCCTTAACGCAACGTGCATGCGCCTGTGCGGCGATCATGGTTCTTTCAGTTTCAGTTAGTTGCCAGCGATAATCCTGAATGACCATGTTCTTCTTCCGCCGTTCAGAGATTCAGAAATGCAGTGCTACATGTATGCATCGACTCTGCATTCAGCACCTTTACACGCACGCACACGCACAGACCTTACATAGTAGACGCTGTTCCTGATTTCCATATCCTGTAGGGCATGTCACGCACGCTTGACAGCGAGCATGCACGAGCAGTGGATCCATTCCGTGTGATCCGCAGGCAACAGTCCGCGGACCGAGACGGAGAACAGTGAGCAGCACAGCCGCTGCCGTTGCACGGTCTCGCTCACCGACAGGGGTTAGTGAGCTTAACCAGCTGATAATGAAGCTCGCCATGGCTGCTGGGCGGCCACGAGATGGGAATCTCTGGGGGCGCCGATCCAACAGTGGCACCACCGTACGTGCAGAGACGGCACAGGAGAAAGACTGGAGAGCGAGCTGTGGATCCTGACCTGAATCCGAGGACGGACGCACGGACAGGAGGCGCAGGGACAGGGACGCGTCAAGTCCAACAGCGCCGTCAATCATTCGCTCATGGTTCACTGTCTACTCTACTCTACGCCACTGTCTCCACCTCTCAGTCTCGTCGCTCTGTCTGTCTGTCGATGG